CGAGGCACGCACGTGGCTCAACGTGTTTCTCTCCGGCTCACGTTCGTACTACCGCGGTGCCTCAGCCAAGAACCCGGAAGGGGAGAGGGAAAGTTAGGTTTGTAGCCGGCGGCACCGACGACGACGACAGCCGCACGAAGCGCGGTTCATGACGACAGCTGTTCACTTTCAGGGCTTTTACCCACGAATTTCTTTAAGTAGCTTTTTAAGAGGTCACAGTCTAATTTTATTTTCCTTTGGAACCACCGTCTGCTGTTTACCGGTAGACAGCACTGTTTACCGAGCAGCTAGCCCTTTTCCCGCCGACCGGCCACGCCCGCGCCCCGTCCAATGCACGTGCGTAGGACGTAAGCACGTCTCTTCCCCGGGCCCCTGCTCTGGCGGCTCGGAGCGCGCACGACGCGCCGCCCCAGCTCCCGGGGCTGCACTGCAGGGGCCGGCGCCTGGACACAAGCCCCTTCGCTCGTATTCTTCTTCCTCGAAACCGTCTTGGATCCTGTACTTTTTCCCACATAAACGTGAAAAGCATGAGAATGGCAACCTCAGCAGCAATACACAGCCTCCTTTTACAAACCAGCAGTCACTCCGCGCTGCATACATGAGGAGAAATCGAGTAAACGAGCAACTGAGTAAATTTAACGCTAAGCCCCAAGGTTACACAAGATTCAAAGTCAAAAAGCAGCAAGCCACCCCCCGATGCTGTTCCGTACTTTCCCGGGGAAGCACTGAGGGCCCCGAGCTTCCAACACGAGAAGGCGTCCCCGTGCGGAAGGCCGTTCCCGACCTCGGTCAGGACAAGGACGGAGAGGAACCGCCCCGCCGGCCACGCGGGCCGCGCCTCAGGCTCGCGGGACTCCCCCGGCCGCCTCACCAGGGGCTGGCGGCGTGCGCGGCGCCGAAGCGGCTGCGCGCCCGGCGTGTCCCGCGAGGGCCCGGCCTCTGATTTCATTCTCGGAAGGCGCGCGGCGGCCCCCGCCCCGCCGCGCACACCCCGCCCCGCGTCCGCAGGGACCCGCCGGCCGCGCCCACGCCCGGGGCCCGCCGCTACTGCCCCTGCCCCCGGAACGGGAGCCGACGGGTTTCAGACAAGACACACACGGAGCGATGACAGGGTGGACGTGACTCTCAGGAGACGAGAAGTCCCGACCGTCACCAACCGTCCATTAACGCCCCGCCGCTCTCCCGGGCGCTGCCACCCCGCGCGCAGGCGCAGACGCAGGCGCAGGCGCAGACGCAGACGCAGGCGCAGGCGCAGGCGCAGGCGCCGGCACCCCCGCGGAGGGATTCCGCGGGGCGCGCGGCACTGCCGCAGGCTTCCCGACCGCCCGACCCCGCGACTCGGGGCGTGCCACGGTGCCTCAGGAGGATGTGCGGCGCGGAGGGAGAAAGACAGCGCCGCGCCGGCGGCGGGACGGGGCCGCCCGCCGAGGAAGGCGCGTCCGGCCGCTCTCTGACGCAGACTCTCGGCGCCCCGGCGGGGCGCTGACGTCAGCGTGCGTCAGCGTGCGTCAGCGCGTACCCCGCCTGGGCGGGGGCTCAGGACGCCGGAGCCGCGTCTCCGGGGATCGCCGCCGTTCGGGCTCACGGGAGGGCGTCGGCCGTCGCGCCGTTTCCGCGCGTGCTGCGCCGGCCCCGCGGTGAGTGCGGCCCCCCTGCCGGCGCGGGTCGGGGCGCGGGCGGGCCGGCCGAGGGCGCCGGGCGGGCGGGGGGGGGGGCGGGAGGAGGCCGCGGCCCCTCGGCCAGGGGGCAGGGGCAGGGGCGCGGCGGGCTGCGGGCTCTCCCCGCTCGCGGACGCTGCGTCGTCCGTGGGGAGCCCTCGCCCCCGGGCTCGCGGGCGACAGCGGGCTTCAGGGCCCCGGCGCGGGGGCCGGACCGCACGGAGCTCTGGCGGCGTCCGCGCAGGGCGTGCAGCCGCGTCCCGGGCGCGGGGAGGGGGTGGGGGGGAGCCCTTCCTCGCCGGCCGGCCCCGCCGGGCTGCCGTGTGCTCGGAGCGCGGGGTGCCCACCGCCCGGGTCCCGTCGCCGAGGCCGGTGGTGCGGGTAGGTGTGCGCGCTGGCTTCGCACGGGGAGGGGTCTCTGTTCGCGAGCTCGTGGTGCGGTTCGCTCCTGGTCCTTTTGCCCGGTCCTCGACGTTCCTGCCCGACGCCTGCCGTGCCGTGCCGCTGGAGTGCAGGCCCTCCGTGGCAGCGCTGTCGGCCTTTGCGTGCAGCGCGCGGCCGGCCGAGGGGCTTTCCTTTAGCTGCTGGATGTTGTCGCCAGGAGAGGGGGGACCGGGAGCGAAGCAGCTGCCTACGGGGACGTGTCCGTCTGTCTGCAGAGGTGGACGTCTTTTAAAAGGACGCTTAGTGCTGCTGGGGGTATGTTGCACTTACTTTAATTGTTTTTCCAGTTAGAAAATTTTGGTGACAAGTTTCTGGGCTTAAGCTGTGTCATCTAAAGTGTAAATCATTTTTAGACTGTACTGAATACATTGAAAAGTCTAAGTTCTCTTTACCATGAAAATACAGTTTTCTGAAAGAGCTTTTTTTTTTTTTTCCTTTCAGATTAACAGCCTTGAAGAGTCTACTTTTTTCCCCCTCGTTTCTTTTCCCGGCAGTAATAAATCCCATTTTGGAGAGAACCAGAAACTTTATAAAGGGATATAGCTTGAATTTTGTGGAGTGTAATTTTGTGTATGAATTATAGTTCTAAAATATCAAGGGTTTTCAGAAAGAAGGCTAGTAGGGTTAATTATTGGTATATGGTGCATAAACAATTCTGTCCATAAAATATTATGCATAGATAACACTAGGAAGGATAAGTTGTATCTTGATAAGTTGATTTATCTGTACAAAATGAATGATTTAGATACATGATTTTTAAAGATAGGCTATTTAATTTTTAAACGCAGTGTTAAAGTTCCTGTTGTGGAAATTTTATGGTTAAATAGTTTGGAGAAAATACCTTCAGTTGATCAAGTATTATTGGTATGCAGAATGAGGAAGAAAGACAAATCATGATGCTGCAGGAAATGGAAACAAATACCGACAATATTTAACAGAGGTGGAAGAGGTAGCAGTTAGCTTGAAGCAAAATCTGACATCATACACACTAAAACAGGTGTAGGTTCAGCAAAGCTTGTGGGTGCTGATATCCTCAAAAGTTGTTTCTGAAGCTAGTACAACCCATTTAAGTAAATACTGTGGTGATAACCTGTGTGCAACTGGCCTTTAGATAATATGACCATATGAAGACTTTAATTCTTGTTTGCTAGAATAAAACAAGATTTTTGAATGGGCTTGAAAGAAACCTGCATATAGTTTTTCCCACTTGTAGCATAATCAGTAATTGGCTTGATAAACAGGCTTTGTAGCTTGTAACTAAAAGCATATTGAAGGCATAATTTAGGTACCCTATAATTATTTAGAATTTTGGGAATATCAACCTCCTCGAAAAATCAAGCAGTTTTAACATATTTCAGTAAGTGTGCCAATTTCTTTCAGGCCTTTATGTTAGTATTACACCAAATAATGAGCAATTAGCCCTTGGGTTACATAAGAGTTAATATAATCCGAAACAGTACTGGATGGTATCTTGGTAATTTAGGACAGATATTCGTCCCACCTGAGTGTAAACTCAGCATAAATCCCATAAGGAAGGTGTAGTGAATTTTACATAAGTAGAAGCCTATCGTTTGATTCTTTTATGTGGTAAAAAACTAAAATCGTGTGAAGATAGGAGAAATTTCAGGTGAAGGTTTTTGGACATTAAAAAGTAAAATCACTCATGCACAAAACTACTTCCCAAAGACTTGTCCCAGGTTCTTCATGTCAGAGAATTAAGAGGACCATGGAAGATAGCACGATCTTATCAAGTCAGACAGTTGGCAACAAACAAAAAATAAAATATGACTTTTCATGTGAACTCTATAGAATGTCTACATACTCAACGTTCCCCGCCGGCGTCCCCGTCTCAGAGAGGAGTCTGGCCCGGGCGGGGTTTTACTACACTGGTGTGAACGACAAGGTCAAGTGCTTCTGCTGTGGCCTGATGCTGGACAACTGGAAGCCTGGAGACAACCCTATTGAAAAGCACAAACAGCTCTACCCCAGCTGTAGTTTTATTCACAGTCTGGTTACTCTTACTAGCCGGGATTCCACCTTTAAGAATCCTTCTCCAACGAGGCACACTCTCACACATTCATTATCTCCCACTTTGGAACACGGTGGCTCATTCAGTGGTTCTCATTCCAGCCTTGCACCAAACCCTGTTAATCCTAGAGCAGTCGAAGACTTCTCCCCATTGAGGACTAACCCCTACAGTTACGCGATGAGTACTGAAGAAGCCAGGTTTCTCACTTACCACATGTGGCCGTTAACCTTTTTGTCACCATCAGACCTGGCGAGAGCTGGCTTTTATTATATAGGACCCGGAGACAAGGTAGCCTGCTTTGCCTGCGGTGGGACCCTGAGTAACTGGGAACCAAAGGATGATGCGATGTCGGAACACCGCAGACATTTTCCCAACTGCCCATTTTTGGAAAATTCTCTGGAGACGCTGAGGTTTAGCATTTCAAATATGAGCATGCAGACACATGCAGCTCGACTGAGGACATTTATGTACTGGCCGTCCAGTGTACCCGTTCGGCCTGAGCAGCTTGCAAGTGCTGGTTTCTATTACGTGGGTAAGAGGCGGACGTGTGGTTGTATGTTTTATCAAGTTCACTTTGTTTTACGTATGAGGATGTGGGTTTAAGTTCAGTCTTGTTTTCTTTAGGTCGCAATGATGATGTCAAATGCTTTTGTTGTGATGGTGGCTTAAGGTGTTGGGAATCTGGAGATGACCCGTGGGTGGAGCACGCCAAGTGGTTTCCAAGGTAATTGTGAAAGGTATTTCTACACAAAACTCTGCTTACAAGAAGTAGGTGTGCTTGTAGGATCTGTGTTTACATTTCAGTGTAGCAGAGCTGCTTTTATGCTGTTGGGGAATTGGTCTTTTAAAACACCAAATCTGGGACATCTGGCTGGCTCAGTCAGAGGAGTATGTGACTCTTGGTCTGGGGACCATTGAACCGCACAGTGGGTGTAGAGATTACTGAAAAACTTAAAATACACCGAATTTTAACATTAATTATTTTGATAAAAATGTTCTAGAATGTTTGCTTTTGTAAGTCATGTATTCAGAATATAGTTTAACTTGCTACTACTTTTTTTTTAAAGATTTATTTATTTGAGACAGCGAGAATGCTAGCGGGGGTGGGGGGAGCTTAGGGGGAGGGGAGGACAAGCAAATTCGATGCTGGGCTTGATCTTAGGCTTGATCCCAGGACTCTGAGATCATGACCTGATCAGCAGTCACGTGCCTAACCGACTGAACCACCCAGGCACCCCTAATTTAACTTACTCTTGAGGACTCATTTATAATTACGGCCATATGTTTTATCTGTAGGGTTCCCATTTTTGCTTTAAAGAAGTCTTAAGGATTACAGAGATGTGTAGAATAGCATGAAAGAACATATGTTGGAAAAAGAAAAGGAGAATAAGAAGGGACATAAAATGTTCTAGAAAAAGGCAAATAACAAAAATCATAATGAAAGCTGATTAAGTCTCATTATAATTGTAATTTTTTTTCTGTGCAGTTTATCTTGTGATAAGATCTTGTGATATCTTACTCACTGTCTCTAGCAGTATGTCCTGTTTTCTACTGTAGCCCACAAAGAATTGAGAGGCAGTATTGTTCGTGGAAGTAGAATCAGAAATTAATTCTTCATTTTTGAGGAGCTATGTGAACTTGGACAAGTGGTGTGACCCATTTGAAACTCTGTCCTTATCTGTATAATGGGGGCATTGGACTAGATAATTTTTTTTAAATTGTGGTAAAAAAATACGTAATGAAATTTACCATTTTAACCATTTTTAAGTCCATAGTTCTGTGGCATTAAGTACGTTCACATTGTTCCTCCGTCATTACCACCGGACTTTCTCATCTTCCCAAGCTTGTACTCATCACACGAACTCCCCATCCCTGCCCCCTGCCCCCCAGCCCCTGCAGCCACGGTTCTCCTTTCTGTCTCTCTGCATCTGACTAGATACCTCCCATTAGTGGGATCGTACAGGACAGTGTTTTGACCTGTGAGTGCCTTTCATAATGATGAGGAATCTCTTGAACCCCTTCAGGAAATTAAAACGTCTTGTTGTCATTTTTTTACATAAAGATAAACTTGAAGTATTTTATTATGGATCATCAGTACATTGTTAAAAGTTGTATTTAAAAATTTTATCTTTAATGTTCATAATATAACAAGGTGAAATTTGACTTTAACTCTCAAAAGTGACATATTTTGTTTATTTAGGAAAAAGTGTATTTTGTCAGAATTTTAAATGACTATGCTTGGCTCTATGGGATTGTGTACAAGAAATTTGAAATTTACTAATAACAGTATTAAAAAGACAAAAATAGCTTTCCAGTTCCAGTGTTTGAATTACTGCATTTTGTCCCTAATAAAACAAAACAAAACAAAATCTTGGTTTATTTCCATAATTTGTGTTTTGTTTTAGATGGTTAAAGGAAAAAGGCCTAGGGTGCTTTGTGTAAACATTTCGGAAGACAGCAAATTTTGATTGTGGATAACCTTTAATCTCAGTAAATGGAAAACCAGAATGGATAACAGTTTCAGTGTAGATGTTCATTTGTCACATGTTTGAGTGCTGGCTGGAGGACGTTTTCGATGCTGGAGATGAAGACAACAGTTTCTGTCTTTACTGAACTTCTTAGAGGAGGGGGGAGACGAGCCAGGGCTCGTTGCACTTGCTGCTTTGATCCTAATGAAGGTCAGTCAGTCCCAGAATAAAAATAATTTGAAACTGTCAGGCGACTGAGAACGTCGAGAGAGCTAGCTGTTTTATCTCCTTGACAAACAAGCCGTGAGCCTGCTTCCACGATCCCTACTGATCAGCCAGTCAGCAGTTGAAGGGCGTTGGGTTGTTTCCAGCTTGGAGCGGTAAGCAGTAAAGCCACCATAAACGTTAATAAACGTTTGTGACGGATGTTTTCATTTGGCTTGGGTGAGTAGGTAGGCGTGGGATTGGTGGGTTGTGTGGCAAGTTCTCACCTCCTCAGGACTGCCATGTTGTTTTCTTAAGTGGCTGTGCTGTTATAGGTTCCTGCCGGCAGCCTGTGAGGTCTCCCGGTGTCTCACATCCTTAACTGTGATTGGGATCATCAGTTTAGTGTGGCCATCCCAGTAGGTGTGGTGTGATACTTCTCTGCGGTTTTAATTTAATATTTCCTTAATAATTAATGAAGGTGAGCGGCTTATTTGCCTTCTACATACCTTTGGTAAAATGTCCAAATCTTTTGCCCATTTTAAAGTTTTTTTTTGTTTTTTTTTTTAATTACTAAGTTTTGAAAGTTCTTAATACATTTTGGGTACAAGTTCTTTAACAGGTGTGTTTTGCCAGTTTTCAGTTTGTGGCTTGTCTTTTCATTGTTTTAACGTTGGCTTTTGAGGATGTCATTTTATCAGTTTTATCTTGTATGGATTATGCTTTTGGTCTCTTAGTTTAGTGACCTAAGGACAAAAAGATTTGCTACTGTCTTCTAGGAGTTGCATTGTGTTGGGTTTAACATCTCGGTCTCTGATTCATTCTTAGTTTTTGCACGCAGCATGGTATAGGTGGAGGCTCGTATTTTGCGGGTCGGTACTGAGCTGTTCAGCAGCAGTTGATTGAGACACTGAAGGGATAAAATGGAAGTAGCTGTTAGGTGAGCTTCTTGGAAGGCCCTTGAGCAGCTCTTGCAGTTTGTGAACAAGTTTTTGGGAAACACCGTCATATTGCATATAGACGAAAATATTTCTCTGTGTTTTGGAGGGAGGGTTTGTGCTTCAGTGGTAATGGAAGAGGGGACCCCAGAGATAGATAAGCAGTTATTATGTTGTGAAGGATCATGTTTTAGGAATATTAATTACAGCTTCTGAAACTATGTGAAACCCCAAAGTAAATTGTCCATAACAGCATTTTTCAAGTCTTAGCTTGTGCTCCTTTGAGGTCTGAACCCTTTTATTATTATTCGTTAATGTGAGTAAATAGAAAATACCAGAAAGCATCAGCATGTAGTAAGAGTTAGTAGTGTTTTACGAGGATTTACGAGGATTTTTTTCCTGCTTGATGTGTACTAGGTTGTGATGTAAAATGGTTATACTGTGGAGCACAATGAGAGAGTTTGAAAGCCACTTTTCTAGAAGATCAGGGTTTTTTTTTTTTGGTATAAAACACTTTTTAAAAGTAATTTTCGTCTTCTGTTATAGGTGTGAGTTCTTGATACGCATGAAAGGGCAGGACTTTGTTGATGAGATTCAAGCTCGGTACCCTCACCTTCTTGAGCAGGTGAGTAACTTTATATTTGGCAACGCTGAATTCTCCTAAATGATAATGACAAAGATAATTATTAGGAGTAATATTTACATTTGTTTTCTTATTAAGTATGGTTAGTTGCTTTATATCCAGCTAATGACACATTTAATTTTTATTTTTGTAACTATCTTCAGGGCTTTTTAAAAATTTTTAGGGGTGTGCCTGGCGGCCTAGTTGGTTGAGCATCCAACTCTGGATTTTGGCTCAGGTCATGATCTTGGGGTTATGTTGGGCTCCATGCTCAACGGGGAGTGTGCTTGAGATTCTTTTTCTCCCTCAGCCCCTTCCCCTGCTCGTGCTCACTTGCTCTCTCTCAATAAATCTTAAGGAAAAAAAAAAGATTTCTTGCTTTTAGGCTTCTGAAAAATCACCCAGTCTCCCACTGTACAAATTTGTGGTGGGATTGAAGGAGGATCTGTAGTGTCTCCTCCATCTTTTCCAGAAAAATAAATAAACAAAAACAACTTGTTAGGAGTTTGGAGCCTCTGAGAGTGATCCAGCTGAAATATCTTTTAAATGGAATGAGGAATCATTATTTTTTTCCTCCTTTTCTGAAACTAGAGAAATACTTGAACTCTAATTTGGAAGTAGGTAAAGTTTAAGGGGATTTTTATTGATGATTAACGTTAAATAGAGCAAAGTAAGTATAAATTACCTAGTTTTCAGAAGAGTATATATGTTACTTAAGGTAAACTTATTGTTACTCTGTTTAAGGTTGTCTGAGATTTTTTATTTTACTTATTTTTCTCCTGTTTCATAGCTTTTGTCAACATCAGATACTTCTGGAGATGAAAATGCTGATCCACCAAGTATGTATGAAAATATTCCAAATGTAGAATGGGACTTTTTCTAAGAATGTTAAGCACACAAGTATATAAACAGGATTTGATTCCTGAGGACGTAGGAAAAAGTGTTGGGAAGTTAACTAATAAATATTACGTGTCTACTAAGATTGATGACGTTTTTACAGCATTCTAACAAGTATACTAATCTTTGTTCTTCAAGTGCTAACCTTCCAACTGGGGAAACAGGACATATGGAGAAGAGAAATAACCATCACTGATAACTCAGTACTGGATGAGAAGTATGAACAGGAACCCCTCCAAAGAGAAAAGTTTGCTATAAGCCAGTATGTTTGGAAAGGGCCAGTTGACGGATGAGTTAAGAACTGGGCTAGATTTTAGCTATTTGTTAGGTGTGTAGTATTTTAGTGCAAGGATAGGAAAAGATCTGGTTAGAACTTAGTTTTGGCCACATCTGGCATTTGGTTAATGTATGTAATTTTCATATGTTAGGGTGTCCAAAATAATGAAGGTAACAGTGCACCATTTCTTGGCAGATAGCATGACCCAGATGACTCAGGAGGGTTGTTGAGGATTTGGAGTTGGTGTTTGACGTGGTAACTGCCTCCTGTGTGAGAGAGCTGGAAGAGAGAGGGCTGACTGTTCTCACTTTAAGTTTATGACCACAGCTTTCCATGGGCCGCCCTGCCACCCTGTGCCACTCCCCATACAATGACTGTCAAATTTTCTCTCTTTGGAAGGTTCTACGCTTTCTTCCCTGACTTAGGCACAGCTCATAATCTTGCGTCACTGAGGAAGTAAACACAATCGGAAGAGAGCTACTCCCATTTCCTCCCAGCAAAGCCACCAGTCTGAGATGTATCCATACCACTCGCCTTTCTGTGCTTTTCTTGAAGGAACTAAGGCCAACTTTTCTACTTGTCCTTTGTCCTCTGAACCTCAAACCTGCTGCCAGCGTAAGAACTTGGCTTTGGCAGTGGTCTTCCCTTTCTGTCTCGTAGCATCAGGTTTTCAGTCTCTAGACTATTTCAGCGTTTGGACCTAATGTACTGTGACCAGCCCTGAGAAGACCCTTAACCTGTGCCCTCTTCCAGCTCCTTCCTCACTTCCTCGCTTCCCCTTACGACAAAATGTGTACAAAGATTCATCTGTGCGTACTCTCTTCTTTTCCATTCTTTCTGAACTTACTGTACTGAAAACTACTCTTGTTAGGGTCCCTAAGAACCACTGTCTTAGTAGATCCACTGCTTGACCTGTTACCAGCATTCGAAACAGTTGAGTGCTTCATCCCTTTCTCCCCCAGCTTTACTGGGATAGGGTTCACATACGACACTGTGTAAGTTTAAGGTAAGAGGTGGCATGATTGGTACACATACGTTGCTAAATGATTACCAGGTTAAGATAAACACATCGGTCACCTAACATAATTTTGTTTTTTTGTGTGGTAAGAATATTTAAGATTTACTCTTTTAGTAACTTCCAAGTGTGTAATACAATATTGTGAACTATAGCCGGTACTCTGTATATTCTCAGAAATTACTCATCTGGTAAAGTCCATCCATATTATTGCAAATGGCAGGGTTTTCTTCTTTTTTATGGGTAAATAATATTCTGCACATATTACCATGTTTTCTTTATTCAGATCTGCTGATGAACACCTAGAGGTTGTTCTCATGTATTGGCTGTTGTGAATCATGCTGCAATGAACAGGGGAATGCAGATAAATCTTTCAGAAAGTGATTTTGTTTCCTTCTGATAAATACACAGAAGTGGGATTGCTGGATCATAAGGAAGTTCTATTTTTTTCTTTTTAAAAATTTTTAAAATTTATTTGAGAGAGCGTGTGTTCGCAAGTGGGAGGAGGTACAGAGAGAGAGGCAGAGAATCTAAAGCAGACTCCTGCTGAGCACAGAGCCTGACACTGGGCTTGAACTCATGACCCTGAGATCATGACCCAAGCCGAAATCAAGAGTCAGACGTTCAACTGACTGAGCAACCCAGGTGCCCTGGGAAGTTCTATTTTTAATGTTTTGGGGGAATCTCCATACTGTTTTCCACAGGGGCTGCATTACTTTACATGTCCACTAACAGTGTAAGAGGCTTCCCTTTTCTGCATCCTTGCCAACACTTGTTTCTTGGGTTGTTGATTTTAGCCATTCTGACACCTGTGAGGTAGTATCTCATTGTGGTTTTGATATGTATTTCCCTGATGATGAGTGATGTTGAGCATCTTTTCGTGTGTCTGTTGGCCATTTGTATGTCTTCTTTGGGAAAATGTTATTCATGTCTTCTGCCCATTGTTTAGTTGGGTTTTTGGTTTTTTGAGAGTTGAGTTTTAGAAGTTCCTTGTATATGTTGGATATTAACCCTTTAGCAGAGAAGTCATTTGCAAATATCTTCTCCCATTCGGAAGGTTGCCTTTAGTTTTGTTGACTGTTTCCTTTGCTGTGTGGAAGCTTTTTATCTTGATGAAGTCCCAGTAGTTCATTTTTGCTTTTGTTTCCCTTGCTTCAGGTGACATGTCTAGTAAGAAGTTGCTATGGCTGATGTCAGAAAGTTTGCTGCCTGTGTTCTCTTCTAGGATTTTGCTGGATTCCTGTCTCACATTTAGGTCTTTCATCCATTTTGAGTTCATTTTTGTGTGTGGTGTAAGGAAATGGTCCAGTTTCATTCTTTTGCATGTGGCTGTCCAATTTTTCCGACACCATTTGTTGAAGAGACTGTCTTCTTTCCATTGGATATTCTTTCCTATTTTGTTGAAGGTTACTTGACCATGGAGTTAAGGGTCCATTTCTGGGTTCTCTTCTGTCATATTGATCTATGTGTCTGTTTTTGTGCCAGTACTATGCTGTCTTGATGATCACAGCATTGTAATATAGGCTGAAGTCCAGAATTGTGATGCCGCCAGCTTTGCTTTTCTTTTCCAATATTCCTTTGGCTATTTGGGGTCTTTTCTGGTTCCATACAAATTTTAGGGTTGGTTGGTCTAGCTCTGTGAAAAACGCTGGTGGTATTTTGATAGGGGTTGCATTGAATCTGTAAATTGCTTTAGGTAGCATAGACATTTTAACAATATTTGTTCTTCCAATCCATGAGCATGGAATGTCTTTTCATCTCTTTGTGTCTTCCTCAGTTTCTTTCATAAGCGTCCTGTAGTTTCTAGAGAACAGATCCTTTACCTATTTGGTTAGGTTTATTCGTAGGTATCTTAGGGTTTTGGTACGATTGTAAATGGGATCAATTCCTTGATTTCTGTTTCTGCTTCATTATTAGTGTATGAAAATGTAACAGATTTCTGTACGTTGATGTTTTATATCTGTTCTAGCAGGTTTTTGGTGGAGTCTTTCAGGTGTTTATGTCATCTGCAAATAGTGAAAGTTTGATTTCTTCCTTGCTGATTTGGATGCCTTTTATTTCCTTCTGTTGTCTGACTGCTGAGGCTGGGACTTCCAGTTCTGTGTTAAATAGTAATGGTGAGAGTGGCCATCCCGGTCTTGTTCCTGACCTTAGAGGGAAAGCTCTCAGTTTTTTTCCAGTGAGGTTGATATTAGCTGTGGCTTTTTCACACATGGCCTTTATTATGTTGAGGTATGTTTCCTCTAAACCTTTGCTGAGGGTGTTTATCATGAATGATGTTGTACTTTGTCAGATGCTTTTTCTGCATCTATTGGAGTGATCATATGGATCTTAATCTTTCTCTTCAGTATCACACTGATTGATTTACGAATATTGAACTACTCTTGCAGCCCAGGAATAAATCTCACTTGATTGTGGTGAATGAGTCATTTAATGTACTGTTGGATTCGACTTGCTAATATTTTGTTGAGAATTTTTGCATCCATATTCATCGGGTATCAACCTGTAGTTCTCTTTTTTGGTGGGGTCTTTGGTTTTGGTATCAGGGTAATGCTGGCCTCATAGAACGAATTTGGAAGTTTTCCTTCCTTTTCTATTTTTTGGAATAGTTGAGAAGAATAGGTATTACTTCTTCTTTAAATGTTTGGGAGAATTCCCCTGGGAAGCCATCCGGCACTGGACTCTTAATTTGTTTAGGGGATTTTTTTTTTTTTTAAGATTTTATTTTATTATTTGAGAGAGAGAGAATGAGAGATAGAGAGCACGAGAGGGAAGAGGGTCAGAGGGAGAAGCAGACTCCCCGCAGAGCAGGGAGCCTGATGCGGGGCTTGATCCCGGGACTCCAGGATCATGACCTGAGCTGAAGGCAGTTGCTTAACCAACTGAGCCACCCAGGCGCCCTGTTTAGGGGATTTTTGATTGTTGATTCAATTTCTTTGCTGGTTACGGGTCTGGTCAGGTTTCCTGTTTCTTCCTGTTTTAGTTTTGGTAATTTATATGTTTTTCATAATAATCTCTTAGAATTGCTTGTATTTCTGTGGTGTTGTGATTTCTCTCATTTGTGATTTTATTTATTTGGGTCCTTTTTCTTTTTTGCTAAGTCTGGCTAGGGGTTTATCAATTTTATTCTTTCAAAGAATCTGCTCTCAGTTTCACTGACCTATTTTTTTTTCTTTATCATTTATTTCTGCTCTGATCTTTGTTATTTCCCTCTTGCTGGCTTTAAGACTTCTTGCTTCTTGTTCTTCAGCTCCTTTAGGTGTAAGGTTAGGTGTATTTGAGACTTTTCTTGCTTCATGATGTAGGCTTGTATTGCTACATACTTCCCTCTTAGGACCACCTTTGCTGCATCCCAAAGGTTTTGAACCATTGTGTATTCATTTTCATTTGTTTCCATGTAGTCTTTTATTTCTTTGATTTCCCGGTTGACCCATTCATTCCTTAGTAGCATGTTTAACGTCCATGTATTTGTGGTCTTTCCAAATTTTTTCCTGTGGTTGACTTGCAAGTTTCATAGTGTTGTGGTCTGATAATATGCATGGTATGATCTCAGTCTTTTTGTACTTGTTGAGACCTGTTTTGTGACCCAGTATGTGAACTCTTCTGGAGAACGTTCCATGTGCACTCTAGAAGAATGTGTATTCTGCCGT